CTGCAATCCAGACAATGGGGCAACAGCAACCCCAACAGAGCTATGAATGGACAGTGGGAGACTACTGAGCCGGTTACTACGAGAACAGCATCTCTCTGGCCAGTTCTTATCATTCTACACTTATCATTTCCCCTTGTTGTTTCAAGTACTGAGGTGTCCTATGAGATAATGACTTTATGTCAAACTGTGGACTGCCTCCCGAACAACAATCTTGTAGCTGACCAGTTACTCTTCTCTCCCGGATCATGATAACCATTCCTCCCCTCTCCCACCAACCCTACACATGGACAAAGGGTGCATCTTTGTATTTTCCAACTCCTTCATCACACTCAGAGCTTAATTTCTTTTCCCTAAAACAAATACATGCCTATGTAAAATTTTAACAAGGGGTAACTTAAGTCCTTGTATGGTCTAAGTTTTAATTACTTTTATAGTTACAGAGCTGTGGCCTCAGTCACTGATGGATAAGCACTACCACATGGTGTAAGTGCTGCACTATGCTTTTGCCTCATGCTCTTTTATGAAAGCTGATGGGATAAATGAAACAAAAGAGGAGAGTGTTTTGTACACAGACTAGGAACCTGTGGATTAAGATTTTTAAAGAATAATTAACAGTAGTTGTTCAGTTACTCTCAAGAAGCAGGAAAACAATAATGCGGCTATTTCTGGGACAGCAATGAACTGCTTCTCTCAGAAACTGTAATTAAAACAGTAGCAAAGTACTGAGATGAGTCAAAGGGCCTCAGAGCTACAACTATAATCAATTACTTTTGAAAAGTAACCTTCCGAGTTCTGATCACACCTTCCAACAAAATTTTATCTGACTGAAAGGAAAATTCTTGGCTGTCCAACATTTCAAGGGTCTTTTGAAATGTCACTAGAGAATTTTAGTGGGACTCTACCCCCTTAATTGGCAGGAGTCTTTTAATAGAAACAGACAGACTTCAACATTATTTTTGCACAATCTCTCTGACTCACTCAAAATTAGAACTAGTGCTTTGTCCACTTTAGATGCCTCTAACCTTCGTGCAACAAACAGTTATCTGTAAACTGTCTAGGGCCTCGTCTGGCGTCCTTGGAAAACTGATCCCTGACTTGGACAGATCGCCACCCTCTTCTTCTGCAAAGACAGACGCAAAGTTACTATTTTTAAAACTCAAGTTTTTGCTTTGCTCTCAGATGTAAGATGAGGGGCTGCAGAGCGGCTGTTCTGTGACCGGGTGCCCATTCTTTAACTTACTGCTTCCCCAGAAAGTATCACACACACAAAAAGCTACTGAGTAAAAGGCACTGGTTTTCATGCATTATGCTTCCTCCTTGGAAGTAAGAGGGACATCTGTTTCCTCAGGAACCATAAAAGAGGTATGGACTCTCTATTCTTTGATGCTGGGAGATTAAAAGGCCCCTTTTCACAGATGCCCACATTTAAAAAAGGATAGATATTTTTCCCCAAGGGAGATGACATAGAATGAGTAGCCAATCTGTAAAGAGAATCCCACTCACAACATTCTGCTGTTCATCTCTCCTGCATTTCTTCTCAGCAGTTCAACAAGTGAACTGTAATATGAAGAATTGATCATATCCGGAAGGGCCAGGCACATCAGTAGGAACGGTGAGACTCTTAACCTCTCATTGACCACAATATGGGTGTCAACTGGTAGCAGCAAGTCGTGCAGATATATGTTCAATCTCTGCACCTATTTATACCTATTAACTTGCATTATAGCTAGCAAGACCTTTCTATCTGGATTACTATCTGATGGCCAAAATGAAATAGATCACAAAAGCTGCTTTTCTTCTTCTTCTTCTTCTTTTGATCACACCCTTTGGAATTAAGAGCTGGGAAAAATCAAATCCCAATGCATCACTGAGGTGTGACAGTTTTTCCAACCAACCTGCATTTTCTTTGCAGACACCAGAAGTGCTAGCACTCTCATTGCTTTGGTATAAACACTGGGTTCTGTTCTCTTGGGAAGCAGAAGGGGTCTGAGTCATTCCTTCTTCTAGAGCTTGCTTCATCCAACGCTGTAAAAATAAAACACGTTCAATGCACATGCTGCCTCCCCGTGTTTTTCACAGACTTCCAAAAGAATAAATTCAGCAGTTTACACCCATATCAGTCAATTTGCTTTCTTTTTAAGGTGAAGGGAAGTCAAACTTCTATGCAAATAGTCTCATGATGCCTCTTAATATACAGTACATGATTTGGGATGAAGCTATATTTAGACTGACAAGCTAGAGTATGATGGGTGGAAAATAAGGCAATGAAGAAAGCAGAGACTTGCGTGTAAGGGATCCTAACTAGGAGGCATGGGGAAAAAGGGAAACGGTAACCTTTGCATGCTTGGGGAGACTCTGTCCACCTGAACACCAAACCATTGACATATATTTTCAAATCTGTCTCCCTAGTCGTAAGAACTAGAAACCTTAATATGAAAAGGAAAGACAGGAAATCCAAGCCACCACCAAACTTTTATACCTGCTTAATGTTAATATTTTATGACATGTACATGCCAAAATGACTAGTAAAATAGGTTCTCTCAATTGTTTTTGTGTTGAGTACATAGAATAAAAAAGCAAAATTGGAACTTACACTGTTTCTTGTGGGATGCACAAGATTACATTATTAATCTGCTAAAAAGAAGTTTCAAGAGCAAGATTTCTAGATTTTTGTTTGAAAGTGGTGGTTTATTTGGTCACAGAATTCACACAAAGAAATAAGACAGAGTCTGGAACTAATTATCAGAGGGAACATTGTGATTAACAGAAGTAAAAAGAGTTATGTTTTGTGGGAATTCTGGGAGAAAAGCCACAATTGCTGCTGCTCCTCCTCCTCCTCGACAATCAACACAGCCACAACCAGAGTAGGGTGAGGCAGACACAATCAAACATAAGTCAATAGGGATGGGACTTCCAGTTTCTTTGGTTTTCCTCTTGTCTCTAATTCACCAGGAATTCCCTCATGCAGAATTCTGGGAGAAGCAGCAAAACCAAAAAACCAGACGTTTACAAAACAGCTTTCAGTACCTGCATAGTGACCCTCTGTCACTAGGCGTTTCCTTGGAGAAACTGCCTTGGTGCTCCCTGGCAGCCACAAGGTTTCATGGGAGGGGCCGTTTCATGGCCCACTAACTACACTTTATAGAGGGGGCCCTCCAATAATGAACCCTCCCATGAAGCTCTGTGACTTCCGTGAACCTTTGCAACTCCCAGGGGCCTCTGAGGCACTCCTTTATTTTGAAAGGAGAACAATGGTGGTGAAGGCACACATATACATATGGAAAGATGCTTTGTAAATTTCAGTATTTGGCCTGCATACTTCCCAATGCTTCTCTGAATTACTCAAACCCCTTCATGGATTGCTGCCTTGTCATGGTGAAGGGGCTTGAGTAATTCAGAGAAGCTATGGGCTATGCCATGCAGGGACACCCAAGACGGACAGGTCATAGTGGAGAGTTCTGACTAAACGCAATCCACCTGGAGTAGGAAATGGCAAGCCACTCCAGTGTCTTTGCCAAGAAAACCCCATGGACAGAAACAAAAGGCTAAAAGATATGACGCTGGAAGATGAACCCCTCAGGTCGGAAGGCGTCCAACATGCTACTGAGGAAGAGCAGAGGACAAGGACAAGAAGCTCCAGAGCTAATGAAGTGGTTGGGCCAAAGCCGAAAGGACGCTCAGCCTGCGGACGCGCCTGGAAGTGAAAGGAAAGTCCGATGCTGCAAAGAAAAATATTGCATAGGAACCTGGAATGTAAAATCTATGAACCTTGTTAAGCTGGATGTAGTTTAATAGGCGATGGCAAGAATAAACATTGACATCCTGGGCGTCAGTGAACTAAAATGGATGGGAATGGGCAAATTCAATTCAAACAATTATAATATCTACTATTGTGGGCAAGAATCCCGTAGAAGAAATGGAGTGGGAAAAGCTGTACTGGGATACAATCTCAAAAATGATAGGATGATTCCAATACGAATCCAAGGCAAACCTTTCAACATCACAGTCATCCAAGTTTATGTACCAACTACCAACGCTGAAGAGGCTGAAATTGACCAATTCTATGAAGACTTACAAAACCTTCTAGAACTGACTCCAAAGAAAGATGTTCTTGTCATTATAAGGGACTGGAATGCTAAAGTAGGGACTCGATTCCAAAGGGGCAGAGGTGCTAGAAACCAAATTACTAACATGAGCTGGATTATGGAGAAAGCCAGAGAGTTCCAGAAAAACGTATACTTCTGCTTCATTGACTATGTAAAAGCCTTTGACTGTGTGGACCACAACAAACTATGGCAAGTCCTTAAAGAAATGTGAGTGCCTGGCCACCTTATCTATCTCCTCAGAAATCTATATGTGGGACAGGAAGCAATAGTTAGAATTGAATATGGAATAACTGATTGTTTCAAAATTGGGAAAGCAGTACGACAAGGCTGTATATTGTCCCCAGGCGTATTTAACTTATATGCAGACTACATAATGCAAAAGGCAGGACTGGAGGAATCCCAAACCGGAATTAAGATTGCCGGAAGAAATATAAACAATCTCAGATATGCAGATGATATCACTCTGATGGCAGAACGTGAGGAGGAATTAAAGAACCTCTTAATGAGGGTGAAAGACGAGAGTGCAAAAAACGGCTCAACATCAAAAAAACTAAGATCATGGCCACTAGTCCCATCACCTCCTGGGAAATAGAAGGGGAAGATATGGAGGCAGTGACAGATTTTACTTTCTTGGGGTCCATGGTCACTGCAGATAGTGACAGCAGCCACGAAATTAAAAGACGCCTGCTTCTTGGGAGGAAAGCAATGAGAAACCTAGACAGCATCTTAAAAAGCAGAGACATCACCTTGCCAACAAAGGTCTGAATAGTCAAAGCTATGGTTTTTCCAATAGTGATATATGGAAGTGAGAGCTGGACCATAAAGAAGCCTGACCACCGAAGAATTGATGCTTTTGAATTGTGGTGCTGGAGGAGACACTTGAGAGTCCCCTGGACTGCAAAGAGAACAAACATATCCATTCTGAAGGAAATACAGTGGTGCCTTGCTTGACGCTTACCCCGCATGAAGTCAAAATCGCTTAATGATGAGTTTTTGGCGATCGCTATTGCAATTGCAAAACGATGGTTCCAATGGTTTTTTTTCACTTGACGTTGATTAGAAGCCTGCTTCGCAAACCGTTTGTTCGTGAAACAACTATTTTTCCAGCTCCGCAAAATGGCTTCCCTCCCTTCTCAAAATGGCTGCTTTCCAGACTCCTGCTTCGGAAAACAGCGATTTTAAACAGCTGATTGGCGGTTCTCTATGGGCAATCTTTGCTGGACGAGCAGGTATTTCTCCCACTGGAACGCACTGACCCGTTTTCAATGCATTCCAATGGGTTTTTTCACTTGACAACGATTTCGCTGTACAGCTATTTTGCTGGAATGCATTATCGCCGTCAAGCGGGGCACCACTGTAACCCTGAGTGTTTACTGGAAGGACAGATCCTGAAGCTGAGGCTCAATACTTTGGCCATCTCATGAGAAGAAAAGACTCCCTGGAAAAGACCCTAATGTTGGGAAAGTGTGAAGGCAAGAGGAGAAGGGGACAACAGAGGATGAGATGGTTGGACAGTGTCATTGAAGCTACCAACATGAATCTGACCCAACTCCGGGAGGCAGTGAAAGACAGGAGGGCCTGGTGTGCTCTGGTCCATGGGGTCACAAAGAGACGGACACTACTTAACGACTAAGCAAAAACAACAAACCTCCTGAAATTCTGTCTGGAGAAATTCTTGGCAAATTCTGAGAGTTGGCATCCAAAAAATCATGAAGTCCCATCTCTATAAGCCAATCCCGTGCTGTTCAGGTTCATATACAAGCTGAAAGTATTTGTGGGGGGAGGGGGAGAACAAACTTCCAGCCTCCACAGTTCAAAAAAAGGGGAATGCTTAATTTTACTAAAAAGCAGGTATTTTATAGGAATTCCAGAGGACGGAAAGAAGGTCTGCACTTATCCCTTCTCTCTCAGCTTTTTTTCTTGTCTTAGTCCCTGTCCTCTCACATCCTTTAGATCAGTGGGCCCCAACTGTTTTGGGGCCACAGACAGGCTTGGGGGAGCAAGCTCCATGCACAGGGGAGGCAGGGGCATGTCACACTTGCACGCAAGTGTGACACACGAGTGTGACATGCCCCCGCAGGCTTGGCACCCCCATGTGAGCATGACACCCCCCGCGTGCATGTCGGGGGTGGAGATCTGTACCCGCAGCCCAGTTCCAGCAAGCCCACTGACCAGCACCGGGCCGCGGACAGGGGGTTGATGACCCCTGCTTTAGATTGCAGAATACAAGCAAGTTACCAAAACATTAGTTTATTAAAGAAATACCACCATGTCACAATATCTATTTTCATGACTTGAATAGCCCAAATTAATCCCAAACTATTGATCCAACAGAGAGGGATTATGTTGCCATCAATTTTTATTTACAGCCACATGACTTTTAAGGCCAGAAACTCCACATAGAGCAGTCTTGAGCCTGTAGGCAATTATTCATAGCTCAGAGCCTTTTGGATACCTGCCTGCTAACCCTACATATAAAGCAACTTGTAAAATAGGAAATCAAGCTGCTTAAGGCAGTCACATTAGATAAGGCATTATCTCCTATGTTAGAATACACTGAAACAAATATTTGGTATTCATTGTTACAGCCTAGAAAACAAAATGAAGCAAAAAAAAAAAAAAAAAAAACCACCAAACCCTCCCCCCCAAAAAATTATAGAGAATAACTCAACATTTAATATCAGGACACACAAAGCTTCCCGGTTTTGCTTTTTTCCTTAGTCTACATGCTGGATGGTGTGGAAACAGAAAACAAAATCTTTCCTTCTTGTCCCCTGCTCAGGAAATATCACAATGAATTCAAGTTTATCCAAGTGTGCATCAGCTATACAGTACACATTTCAACAGGACTTGAAAATTCACTTTAGATCCTGAGTACCAAGAGTCTGTCTGTAGCTACCAATCTAGATGTTTCTGTGGCTGCATCTGTTTTTAAACTGACATCACAACTCAGTTGGTGTGAATAAACTATGGAATTTAAAATTTATTCAACCAATATATAGCTTATTCATAAGTAAACTGATGAAGAAAGATTATGTATTTTTAGCCTAAAGGCTTATTTTTTAAATGATCTGAGGAAATATCAGAAGGACAGAGAAATTGTTCACCAAAGCTATAGGAAACACAACAAGCAGAATAGATCAGAAAGAATATTTTGAAATAAACATATAGGCAGAAAAATAAAACAGCCAAAGAAATTCTTATACAAACTTTTAAGAAAACAAATCTAGATAAGCATTTCTTGAGGGTGAATTCAAACCATGTAGCTTGTAATATATAATCTAAGTACAGAAAGGTGTGTTGATTACTTCAGGTGGGGAAGAGAGATAAAAATGAATGGATCACAGCAGAGAACAGGCATACCTTTTTACATGAGCTGTAATTTCCATCCACCTGAAGTGGCCGTCTTCGCCTTTCTGGTGTGAATGGAGAGCCAAAACGGATGTAGTGTTTGGGTGTGGTACAGATAAGTGGGGAGTGGACAAGGCCTGGCAACATATTGAGAGTGGTAGCTAACACAGTTGGGTCCGTGGTTATACGCAAAGGGCACTCAATGGGGCACTCCTGCTTCTCCGCCTTGTCATTAAGCCACTCTGTAACTAGATACTAGAGGCAGAAAGAACAGATATGTCTTACTATCGAAGGACCTGGGAAGGATACAAAAACATTAAAAAACACAAAGGGAGACACAAAAAGAGCAGCCATAGCCCAATGTTGTCTACTCTGACTGGACAACGGCACCCCAAATCTCAGGCATGGGGCATTTTAAGTTGGTAGTACCAGGTTTAAACCTGGGGCATGCTGTGTTCAGTTACTAGCCAGGGAGCGGACAAGCCTGTCAGGTTGAATCTTGTCAAGGTCCCCATTTTAACCATCAAAGATGCATTTGAATCTACTATGGCATGGGATTGCAAGCCTTTTTTTTTTACATATTTGGTGCAATTCTCAAATTTTTGGATTCTTACATGAATGTATCTCCTGATTAAAATGTGTTTGTGCAGTCTTCTGAAATGTACACGTTCTGAATACCTTATATGTGGTTCTCCACTGGTTCAGCCTGCTTTGTTTCCTAGCTGAACAGCTTATTTGTGGTTCGGGGCCCTGCCCCCTCTGGTGGGTGCCCACTCAGAGGCAGCACACAGAGGAGGCAGGGCAGGGTGCTGTCACCAAATGGATGCTTGCTGGGGGGAGGGCACCAGACTGCAGATCAGTTGTTTGGCTGAGAAACAAACTACGCTGAACTAGCAGTTCAAGCTCATCTTTAATCTTGACCCTTCAGCAAACAAAACTTTGGAGAATTTGGAGAACAATAAACTTTATTGATTTTGTATAAATAAAGGGAAAGATACAAAGCTCAATACAAGAGTCCTTACAATTCTGGAAGAGAAATGGGGCTCTTCAAAGGTATAGGCATTTATTCCCAAATGATCCTAGTGGTGGGGGACCACTGTTTATGTAGATATTTTTCTGCATTTTTTTAAATTAATGTTTAAATGTTTAGTAGATGTTCTATTTTCTTTGATCGTATTTTATTAGTTTAACTTAAAAATTATCCAAACACTGCTATTTTTCACCACGAAAAGAGTTTAGTTGGCTATGAATTCATATTTCATTTCAATCTAATCTTTCCTGCAAGATAAATTTGTGTAGCAGAGGAAAGGTGTACTAATTATAAAATTTTTGCTTGTTTAGCCCTAATGAGGAAATGCATTCCTTGGCATATTTGCAACTGATATGTATACCACTTCAGAGAAATATTAATACAATCAAATAACATTTATGCACATTCTAGGGAACGTGGTGGCGCTGCGGGCTAAACCGCAGAAGCCTGTGCTGCAGGGCCAGAAGACCAAGCAGTTGTAAGATCGAATCCACACGACAGAGTGAGCTCCTGTCGCTTGTCCCAGCTCCCGCCAACCTAGCGGTTCGAAAGCATACAAATGCAAGTAGATCAATAGGGACCACCTCGGTGGGAAGGTAACAGTGTTCCATGTCTAAGTCGCACTGGCCATGTGACCATGGAAGATTGTCTTCGGACAAACGCTGGCTCTATAGCTTGGAAACGGGGATGAGCACCGCCCCCAGAGTCGAACATGACTGGACAAAAATTGTCAAGGGGAACCTTTACCTTTACCTTAGACATAGGCTGACTACGACTGAATCTAATCAAGATGATTGCTGGTTGCTATGCATTTTGGGGCATAGTCTGCTCATTGCCATTGAGTCTACAGAAACCTCAATACTCTTTGAATTTAGAAAAAAAAAACCTCTGGTGGGCTGCACTATGCCTATTCTGTTCTACCAGAATCTGAGCCACACACAGAATATATTTTTCCTCTACCCTGCACCTAAAATTTAGTTATTTCCTCATTATGCTGAAAGTTAATATCTCTCAAAACAAAATTTACTGAGCAATAATGAATGTGTGGGGGGGGGCAGGGAAATGTGAAGGAGAGCTTCACAGATCAGGAGTTCTTAACAAACACAACAATACTAATCACAGTATTGCAGCTTTTATTAATTTCTTGTTAAAATGTAATGAAATATTAGCAAACAGATAATGTGGGCTGCCCAAAACAAAGCTTTCCAAAGGTCCCAAGAAAAAAACATGCTGCCACCTCTCCTTCTCCAATTTACCTTTTTTGTTTTGGGGTACTTGAGCGCCACCCGGCTGGCCTGTGGCCCGACAGCTGCAGCCACCGCTGGGTCAGAACCCACCAACTGCTTCCCTTCTCCTGGACCTTCTACGTTGCTGACTTCTGCTGCAGTTGCAATGCTTGTACCATTTCCTTCCTCTGGAGTTGCTTGTGATTGTTCAGACTGTTGGGAAATGGCCTGCTTTTGCCTTCTCAGTCGCTGGGCTGAACTGCTCCGATAACGAGAAAACCGGCTTTTGGGCCGCGGCCTAGCTGGTTTTGATGGTGCCGGTTTAGAGACAGGTTTCTCTGGTGCTGTCTCCTGCAATGCAAATCCTGGGAGTAAGATGTGGGATCATTTAAAAACAATTCCTTGCCCCTCACTCATTTACCCCTTTGGCAAATAACAGCAACTTGGTGAGAGCTGGCTTTGCATGTTTAGCTGCAGGAGTGAAAAAGGATTGCTTCTAACTCTAGAATGACACTGGAAAAAGCATGTTCCACATGCCTCATGATACAAAATTTCCTCTGGAATATTACCATTTTTAAGAACAAGCAGCATAGCTGCCAACTGCTACATTTTGAGTCCTGACCAAACTATCCAAGGACTCTTGTCGAAAAGAATCAGGACAAAACAATGCCTGTGTGAACACCTGCGCTGATTCCTACTCTGTATCATTGTCGTTTAGTCATTTCCGACTCCTCGTGACCCCGTGGACCAGAGCACGGCAGGCCCTCCTATCTTCCACTGCCTCCCAGAGTTGTGTCAAATACTCTATACTCTGTATAGGCAACAACTAAATATTGCAACAAGGTGATCAGTCTCTTACGCTGTCAACATGCCAAGTAACACCAGGAGTGTTTCAAATCTTAGCGCAGGGCTGGGAAAACTGACTGCAGTAATGGTGCTACAGTTAGCTTTCCTAACCTTGCACCAAGATTTGGAACTGGGGGGCAGTTGATACCAAATTTTTATGCTGGGTCAAAGCAAGGGTCTGGCTGTCTTCTAGGACATTTGAATGCAACATAAAACATCACAAGAACAATGTGAGAATGACAGCTATTACCTACATTTGACAGCCAGGAACACTTTGGCTGAATATGTTACTGTTCTGACTGCCAGGGATAATAGATTCTCCAACCCACAGCAGCAGTATTGTTATTGTTCCCAAAATCATAGGGTTTGAAGTTATACATTTCCAGCATTCCTCTTACCCCAGCCTGTGAAGACCTCCGTGTGTTCACTCCTACACTACTGACAGCAATGGGGGCACTTGGCACAGGAACATTTAAAACTGAAGTGTTATCTTCCTTTTCAGCTGGCTCAGGTTTAACTTCCTCTGGCTCTGGAGTCTCTGCAGTGACCACCACTTCTGCCTCTGTGCTGCTCCGATCAGATGGTACATCTTTTCTCCTCTTCCTTTTCTCCAGGTTCTCAAACACATGCATGATGGCTTCTACCTTCCTATCTTCTCGGGTCTAAGTCAAACAAATAGAAACAAAAGTCACTAAAACAGGCACAAAGGGGCAGAAAATAGATTAAGGGCATGAGGCAGAAGATAAAAAGGAGGGGGGAGGAAGCAGCAAGACAGTAGTGGGAAAATTAGAGGGTGTACCAAGATTTTCATATCTTGATTCTACAGAAGACAGGATGGTAACTTCTCAGTTCAGACTGCACTTAAAGAGTACTGAATTAGATACACTACTCTTTACTTGTGTGTGGGAAGAACAGAAGTGGTACTGACAACTCAAAGTAGGACAACCACAGGAAAAATTTATTAGTGACCAAAATGTATCTGTTACTTATGCACATATTATAAATTCTATCTTATTACCTATTTAAAGACCTTTCTCTCGTTACGAGGTCATTCAGTCATTAACCGGTCAGTCTTATCTCTACCCAGAGGACTTCCACAGCTCAACAGGACTCACTCTCAGGTTAAGTGGAAAGTGATTGCCACTCAAGTCCTTAGTTATGTCTTCTCTTCCCTTATATAGTCAGGTTATTTTCAAATGAACCTTTTCTCATTATATTCTGTGTTTTGGATTTTTACCTTCACTACAATTTTAGTTAGCAGTTTTTATCTGTAATGAAAATTCTACCCATTTCTATGTTAATGTAATATAAAACAGAAGGATTTCTCTTTAACGTGGAAATTTCTCACCCTCAGAATATCCAACAGAGGGAGGTATGAGCTGAGCAGAAGAGGCAATGTCCATTAGAATGATAGTTGAAAATGTGTTGTGTCAAAGGGGACAAAAACATGATCTAGAAGAAGCGATTTTACCTTCTGTGAGAGAAAGAAAATAAATATAATAGAAAAGATGTTCCTTCCAACGGAACCTTCCAGGGTAAAGGAAAGTTACAGGAATGCATTTCTAGTTAGTGTCCTCAATGGTTTTTCATAAGAGATGTCGGCTATATTTTTAACATTTTGTCTAATGCAAGAGGGCAGTGTTTCTCACATCAATACTCTCAAGACATTCAGACTAACACAAGCAGCAAGCTCATGCTGTTGCTAGGGAATATGCAAACTCTTCCTCATCATCTACCTTATACCTGACTTGAATGCACTGAAGGGCAAAGTGGCTAGAACAGTTCACTATGGGATTTTCTTTTGATACTGAGGTATTTTTAGCTTATGAAATTCTACCTCTGATTTTGTTTTGCTTTTTTCTCTCTCTGCAGGATGGGGCTTTTTGTGGGGTATGGGGCATTGCCCTTCATTTGTATTCACAAAAATGAGGGGAGGATACCGTTTTCACTCTTCTTCTTTTGGACCAGATGTGTGTGGGAGAGCTGGGGCCTCAAAAATCACCCTAGGGCTGCACAAAACCTGTGTGCCATACACTGCCCAACCCAGTGTACAGAAATAGCAGCAGCAGCAGCAATAATCAGGAACGGAAGAAGAAGAAGAAAGTAACGGCACATCAGGCAGATCTCCCAAACAACAGTACATGAGAAGCTCATGTGAGAACCTTCCTCCTAGTGAGGACGGTATTAATCTGAAAAACTAGTAGTAAATGGAAAAAGCTACTTGCCCGCCTGCTCTGAGTAAGGCCTCCCTGCTCTTCCACAGCAGATTCTTTCTCCTCTTCTTGTTTCTCTTCTTTGTCTGCAGCCTGAAAGGCAAACAACAGACCTTACTATGGGAAGAAGATACAGGAATATCTAGCATTTCACTTGGGCTGTTGCTACTCTTCAGACAAATACTGTAGGTCATTCCTTCTGGGAACATGTTCCTCTAGAGTTGATGACCAGAACCCCCACTGCTGCAGAGTGATGGGGACTTTACCTCATCACTAGCTGCAACAAGTCCCTCAGGGACTTCCTCTGTCTGTGGATTGCTGTTCTCATCCGATGCAGCACCCCGCTGTTCCAGCTCCTTCCGGCGGGCTTTCCGACGCCTGGTCTCTGCTCCAATTAAAGTGTCTAGAATAGGTGGAGGTAGCTGTTCTACAGAGTTTGGACTCCGCTTCTGCACAGGGCAATTCCGATTCCCCTTATGACAGGCACAATCCACTTTATAGTTGCTGTCCCACCATAAAAGAAACAGAAAACATTAGTATCATTTCCTAATATCTCAAGAAGCAACATACTTGGTTTGGGATAAGGACAGAAACTGATTCTTCTGGGACATTTCTAGACAAAATGGTACAGGAAAGACTATTCAACTAGGAAATGCAAATGAAGATGGAAGGAAAAGTTTTCAATGAGCAAGTAGCACATACAAGACTCACCAGATATTGTATTCATAGTCAAAGGCAATGGTGACTTCTGCATCCTTGGCAATGGACGTAACAGCATATATGCACAAGTGAATCATCCCATCGGCAATCACATGACGAACCTAAAATATACAAACATATACAAATATACTAATAACTCCCCAGCGGGCATGTGCCACATTACACAAAGTGAACCCTTTGTATGAAAAGAAGCAAAACCTGCTCTCAAAGCCACTGTTGGGTGTCTAGACGAACACCGCACAGAGACACCAAATATATATATTTAAGACTGGAAAGTTCTGCTTTGTTATGGAATTGAGTATTTTGTTAAGAACCAGGACCCTGCTGCCGACACCCTGAAAGTTATCTTATAGAGTTCATGGATCAAAATGCCACCTAACAACCACAAGGGTCCTAGTGTTTGTCTTCTGATATTATCAACAGAATGGCTGCAACAAACTTAGGAAATTAAATTCTTTTGTAGCACTGCTGTTTTAAAATTCGCATGGCACTGCTCTGAAGCATTTGTACTTTGCATTGAGCAGAGTTCTGTCCAGAGCCATGCTTCAAAAATTCAACCAATTTAAGCCAAACTGCTATAAACTAGGACTATTTACCTCTGCATTTGGTGTACAGGAACGCCTGATGAATCTGGCATCATTACCAAAAGTGCGAGCATCAACACACATCTCAACACCATTAAACTTGGAGTAGAACAGCACAAAGGGATACGGCCTAAGAAACAAAAAACAGCACTTATGTTTATTGTGATAAACCTAGCCAAATTGGTGCTGCTTCCATGGCCTGCTGGAAACATCTGTGCACAAGTTATTTTCTATTTAAATAGCCCCTCCAGCTATGTGCACTGGTTCATCACACCAACTTTCTACCAGGAAAGCACCAAGTCTTGGGAAATGCATACTAGTATTCTTACTTTTTGAAGAAATGCCCATTAACCTCGAACTGCTGCCGTAGCATCACTTTCCCACGATATTCAATTATAAGGGTATCCACAGCCAGATCTCTGGCTGCTCTCAGGATCTTCCGATGCTTCTGAACCCGTGTCACTCTCCCAAGCTGTAGCTGCAAAGTTGAAAGCAATCATTCAGGACTTAATCCAAAAAGTGTATTACAAATTATTTGTTAAAGCAGTTAAACACTAGGGTTCTGTTGTCTGCAAGACTGCATGAACATGAAGGTAATTAAAACATGTTCAATGTAATACCTCTGGACAGACAAAATTTTAGACCTTAGAAGGATCTTATCCAATGAAGTAAGAAAACAGAACGGAGAAAGAAGAACAGTTGTTTCTGTCACCTTAACCTTTACTGCATCTGCCACCACCACCCACTTTCAAGTCAGGGCAGTTGTAGCCTTCCAGATGGTTATGATCTGTATCTCCCATCAGCCTTAGCCAACATAGCCAATTATAAAGTATTATGGGATGCAGTTCCAAAACATCTAGCTAATCAGCTGTTCAACCCGCATATATAGAAACTTGCTTGCATCTAGCAGCGCAAGAGGATTTTTCAAACCTGGACTTTAGCAGTGCCCCAGCCTCCTATGTCACCGGCTGGCCTACCATGTCTTTGGGGGCTTTTTCCTTTACCTGCATCTGGGATCCAATGACTGTGTTGTTGCAGGCCAACTCTGTCTTGTTGATTGTGTCCAGCACAGGAGCTTTGCCCACAAATTCTTTATTGGCATTTAAATGGCGCTCCAAGAGATTCTGCACATCAGCACTATACTGATTGGTGAAGGCTTCTTCATACTGATCCGTCCACAGCCTTATGCGGCTTTCCCACCCCTCTGCTGTGTTTTCATCCAGGGCGTGGGCTTCTGAGGGAGAATTCTGTACCAAACAACAGTCATATGTCAACGTCTAAATGGCTTAGGGTTCTATAAAAGATATTTTGACTGCTTGTGATGACAGTTGGAACTAGAAAAACTGTTCTCTTATTCAAAGAACCCTGGACTCAAATCATTTGCTTGATTGGAAATATCTATAAGTTCTCAACGCTGGGTTCCTTCTCAATAAGGGGTGGAGTGTCTGTGAGCCAATTCAAATTATATACTTTAGGAGACTGCATACTGTGCAACCTACCAGCAATTATATGTACACTGAGGTTTAATTTTTTTTCTCTCTCCACCTCTCTCTCAACATTAATGTAACAAATCTGTTAGATCAGGTCATTTACATAATATATGCTCTGGCCTCACACTGTAAGTAAGCAGAGATCTGCAGCTCAGTGAAAGCACGGGTACTGATTTAAAGGTCATCTATCATCTAATACAGGTCAAGGATCTTTACAATGGCTATGCTACACAGAGCAATGACACTCATATATTGCCAGCCAGGTATGTAGCAGCACTTACCTTCATCCGCAAAGACTTTCGCGAACCTTCTCTAAAAGCCTATCAGGAGGACAAAACAGCCATTAGTATTTATTCCTTACATATTTGAGATCATGTCTGATAAAGAGTGAAGCTTCAAGGTTGCAAGGGCAGGAAGGATATATAAAATAACAATATATGAGGTGGGAAGAAGAATTTATCCAGACTCTGTCAATAGCATACTTCTCTGGCTCTCTCCCCAGGACATCTTCATCTCCCAAATACTGACTGCTCTCACTTCCAATGTGTGAACCTAAATTAAATGTAACTCATGAGCAGAATCAAATAAAAAATATCTTAAAGGAAGCTACAACAGAGCACACAGAAAATACTACATGCCATCATTTTTAAAGGCATAAAACAGGTGAATGAATTTCCCAAACAAAAGATCTTTGGCATATCAAGAACCCCTTCCAAGTCTGAGATGAGTTGCTGTCTTATGAACTACCATATGAACTAACAAAAACAAACAAAAAAACTATAGTAAACAAAAATCCATAATGATCCATTCACTTTATATTAACTACTCCACTAAATCATGAATATGGAATCTTATATGCCCCCAGATGTGCTAGATTATAATTCAAACTTAAATTGGTAATACAAACCTGTATGTTGAGTGGTTATGGGTAACAATGCTTACGCACCTTAATTTTTTTGGCCTTTGGTGCAGTTCGAGCTCTCTCTGTATTCCTTTTTCTCTTTTTGGGCTTTGTTCTGCAGACACGGTTGACTGTCAGAGTGATGCTCGTAGGGGTATGTTGTGTAGCAGTGTACAACACTGTGGAGGGAGAGAGCTCCTCGTCCCAGCTCTCTGTTGCGCTGCTGTCTCCCCCTGCAGTAATAATGGCATATTGAGAATTTCCCCTTTTGTTCAGAGAAATGAGCACCTGCCCCAAAGGTAGTTGACACTACTGCCTTAGAGAGGGGAGCCCATGCGTCTCTATCACTTTCCTTTCAAAATGTCAACTTGTTTCGTATTTGTCCCATCAGCTCTTCCCACATGCTTTACCTAATTTCTGCAATGTGAAGCAGGATAAGATTAGACCACTGTAATGCGCTCTACGTGGGGCTGCCTTTGAGGTTGTTGCAGAAACGCCAGGTGGTGCAGAATGCAGCGGCCAGACTACTTAGTGGAGTGAAAAAAATACCAACACATCTCACCCACTATGGCCGCATTGCATTGGCTGCCCATCCGGTTCTGCATCGACTTCAAAGTGTTGATGCTTACGTACAAAGCCCTAAACGGTTTAGGGCCTCGATACCTGGATGAATGCCTACTCCCACCAAGATTTACCCATGTCACTCGTGCGAGCCAGGAGGAGAGGCTGAGGAGCCTAACGCCGAGGGAGGCCCGGAAGGAAAAGACAAGAAATCGGGCCTTCTCAGCGGTGGCTCCTCGCCTCTGGAACAACCTACCTCCTGAGATTCATGTGGCTCCCTCGCTGGGTATCTTTAAAAATCAACTAAAAACATGGATGTTTCGGCAGGCC